CAAATGAGGTAATGGGCTCTGATAGGTTAAGTAATTTACCCAAGGCCACAAGGCTAGGGAGTGATGGAGACAGAATTCAAAGCCAGGGAGTCTGGCTCCGTTTTCCTCCTACACCTGCCATCTTATCTCTCCTTGTCTGATTCCTTCCTCCCTATAGACCTCCTATCTGTATACACAATACCCCAAATATGTTTCAATAAGTAGTTATTCTGTCAGCTTCCTCCAATAAACTGTGAGCTCCTAGAAGCCTGGCCTGTGTTCTGTTCAGTTCTAACTTCAGGGCCAGCACATCCTCATATAGGCTCTTTTAATGTTTAAGTGAACCTATAACTTATTACTTTACTTTTCGGATAAATAACCTAGCTTTTTTGAACCTGTTTTTTTGAATGTAAAATGGGATACTAATATCACAACTAGTGATGGATTCAACAAACCTGGTTAAAAAGCGCCCCCATTTACTAGCTGTGTTTCCCTCCTGCAAGTTACTTCCGCCTCAGTTTCCCATGGAGCAGGGGAATCATTAAGCCTGTCTCACTGAACTGATTTATGGACTAAGCTAAATAATGGATATTGAAACGTTTAGCATAACACCCCGCCAGAATTCAACAAGTGTTAGCTATTTGGATCCTTGCTTCTGAGGGTGAGACGCTCTAAGCACAATTCTACAAAAAGGTCAACAAAAGGACAACCAGAGGAATTCCTAATACTTCTTTTCATCTGGAATCATAGTAAGAAGCAATCAGCAAATACTTAAGAGTATATATTTTAACGCAAGGCACCGAATTAACCAGAACGATATTCAAGAGGAACCTATGTCCTGAACCTCCTAAGGACTCACAATTTGACCGAATAGATGACACTGACGTGTGACGACAACCGCCAAAACAAAGCGCCAATGAGGGAAGTCAGGACAGAAAGAAATCCCAGTGCATAGGCGAAGCGGGGAAGACTTGCCCTAAGCGGCGGGGCCCGGGCCCCTGAAACACGGGTAGAATTCGAAGAGGAGACCGTCCCGGCAGGTAAAACCTCTCCCTCACAGCCCCGCAGACTTCCCGGAGTCCTTCTCCCACTAAGGCATGGCGGTGACCATGTCTCAGCAGCAGCGAAGCCCCAGACGAGAAAGCAGGGAGGTTCGAGTCGGGGTCAGGGGCCGGGGGCACTGCAGGCGCCAGGCAGACCGACGTGGCCGAGCTGCCAGAGGAAGCCTCGTCGAGGTGACTAGAGAAGAGCCTGGCCCCGGCAGCCTGCTCAGAGCGCACCCCGACGCTGCCCCTACCAAGCCCGGAGCCCAGCTTACCGTCCCTCGGCTGCCGGCTCTCTCCAACTCTTCCCACCTCGGACCATCTCCGGAAGGGCGCTTGAGCGACGGCCAGCGAGAGCCAATCGCCACTCTCGGATCCCTCTAACAGCCAATGGCCGCTGCGACTGACGGAACCCGCGCGCGACCAAAATACGGAAGGGGCGGGAGTGAGGACCGGCGGGCTACGGGGAAGGTAGCGTTGCTGGCGCCGCGGGGTTCTAGGCGAGGCGGGGACTGGGATCCCAAGGCCCCGAATTCCCTCAACTGCGCAGGCTCCGCGCTCGGCACCCACTGGGCCTGCGCGGGGCTCGAGCTGAGTGCCGAGTGGGGTCTCTCCTTCCTCGCGCGGCTTACTGCGTTAGCTGTCAGCGAGCGCAGGGAGGAGGAGCGGGAGGCGGTGGCAGCTGCGCGCAAGGCTGCGTGCGCGGAGCTGTCCGCCCCTCCCGACCCAAACTCGAGTCCTACCTCTCTCCTTCACCCTCTTACTCTGATTTCTTAAATATCGGTATTCCTGTGCCATCTTCTCGTTCCGCCACCACCTCTCCTCTTCCGAGGCTCAGTGAACCCAGCCATGTTATCCATCCCCTCCTTTAAGTCGGAAACCCGGTAGTCCTCCCTGATTCCTCCCTCATCCGTTACCTACGATCCTCCGCCAAGTCCTGTGAATTTTACCTCCTTAAACATAGGAGCTCTCAAATTCACCCCCCATCCTTCGCCGCCCCCTCGCTAGTCTATTAACGACGCCCAGCCCGATGTCTACACTATCTGGTTCCCTTGTATGCACTCTTGCTTCCCTCCAAGACATTGCCCACGGAGATCTGATTAAACCACCACCCCGGTTTCAACGCGTCAACGCCTTCTGTGGCCTCGAGGCAAAAACCCCAAACCATACTGAGGCTTTCTAGACCCTTCAATATCTGAGTCCTGTATACTTCAACCGTGTCTTTAGTACTTCTTGCCCTCACTTTCTGCTCTCCAGCCCAGAGTTTCTTGCAGTTTCTCCACCACACCTAGCCACCTTTTAACCTTTCCTGCCTTGTACTTGCTGTTTCCTCTGCCTGGTGCCGTCTTCCCCCTTGACCCCCTCTGACATGTATTTGATTGACTCCTACTTATTCTTCTCGTCTCAGTGAAGATGCTTCTTTTCCCAAGAAGTCTTCCAGTAAGGGAGGGCAGGGATTGTATGTGCTCTTCACCTTCATGACTCCATCACTTAGCCTAGCGGTTGAAACATTAAGGGTTCAAGACGTATTTGTCTTACATTGTTAAATAATGTACCTTAGTAAAGTTCATTGGGCTTGAGATTTATTTTGTTACATTTTTCTATATTTTCTAACCTAAAATAAGCCTATATGATTCATATAATCAGAAAACACATTAAATGTTCAATATAAATAAAAGACACTTAAAAATAAAGTCAGAGTAAATGCGGAAATTTGTGCATAAAAAAAAATTTGTGCATGAAGTTTGTTACTAACAGTGGATTATAGCGTTGTCCCTATATTAAAATTGTTTTTTTTTTAAAGATTTTATTTATTTATTTGACAGAGAGAGAGGGAACACAAGCAGGGGGAGTAGGGAGGGAGAAGCAGGCTTTCCGCGGAGCAGGGAGCCCGATGCAGGGCTTGATCCCAGGACCCTGGGATCATGACCTGAGCCGAAGGCAGCCGCTTAACGAGTGAGCCACCCAGGCGCCCCTTTAAAATCGGCTTTTTAAAATATAATTCAGAAGTAACAAAAATATATTTTATCAACTTCATTCCTTCAAAAGCACAGATAGTTAATACACAAAATGCCAACCTTTTAATTCAGATTTACACCACTGAAGATGGTTCTTAGCCTTAATTTAGCAATTTCATGAGGAAAAATTTCATTCACAGAGCTATGTAGACTCAAAACAATTTTTACAGGGCAAAAATTTCAGGATAGCTCTGGGATCCACACGTCTCCAAAACTTGAGACCACATCTTGCTGTCTAGCTTATCTACTTCCATCTCAATCTGCTTCTCTTGAAAACAAGCTACAATTTTGGTTGGATAATTCAGACACATCCTGAGATTTGTTTTTTAAAAGCTGCCACAAAGACTTAAAGCATAATTCACACTCATCAAAAGCTGTGGCTCTCTTCTCAAAGTGTAAAATGGATAAAGTTGATCAAATAATCTTTTGTATTTCTTATACATTCATTAAAAAAAAAAAAGACAACCTGTGTTTGAAATGTGATCCGGTTCTTTACCATAAACTGTGTGATTCCATTGAGCTCTGGGCAGCTCAGCACTAGAAGCTGAGTACAACTTCCAGTTACCATCCACTCAATCCACAGATCCAGTGGGAATCTGAACACTTGCCCTCCCATCAACAAAAGTTTCTTGTAAAATTTCGAGCTCAGTGTGTTTGGCTATCTTGGCATCTTGGTAAATAAGCTGCTCCTCTGTGAGCTATTAAGAGTTGCACTTCTTAGATCAAGGGAAACAGCTTGGTAAATCTCTTGAGTTTTCATGACCTAGAGTTGAGCATATCACTATATACAAATTAACCAAATATCCATACTCTGCCACTTACTAAATATCCTATATTCGGGGGCACCTGGGTGGCTCAGTTGGTTAAGTGTCTGCCTTCAGCTCAGGGCAAGTCCCAGGACTGAGCCCCACATTGGGCTCCCTGCTCAGCGGGGAGTCTGCTTCTCCCTCTGCCCCTCACCCTACTGGTGTGCTCTCTCTCTCAAAGAAATAAATAAATATAAATAAAAATCCTATATTCTGTGACTAGTATGGACAGGACATGCAAAATATCGACAGTTCCATGCTGCCTACCCAAAGGCATGTGCCCTAAACCCCCTATGATGTAAGTTAGTCAGAATGGCGAGGCTGGACGTGACCTGAATGATTATCTAGGCCACTCTCCATTTTAGGGATGAGGAAGTGGAGGTCCAGAAAGGAGAAGTGGTCTGTCCCCAGGTCACTTGGTGTGTCTGTGGCTTTCTGTCCCTAGTCCAGGGCTGTCTGACATCCTGCTGCAGCTTACCTGGTTCAAATCCTGGGTCAGGTCCCAGAGAACAGGAACCAGGGTGTAGATTTTGCTAGTATACATAACTCCCTGAAACTTGTCCACATTTAGGAATGAAAGACTTTTCAGTATGTTGAAACCCTTTTAAAACTTCCCCCTCCCAATCTGTCTCGGAATTCTGAGGCAATAGTTAGCACTTATTCAGCACTGACCATATGCCAGCAGAACTGTAAGCACTTCATGCATTTACTTCTCAGCCACAACCAAGTCATAGCTACTATCACAGTTCCCATTTTACAGATGAAAAAACTGAGGCACTCTGTGGTAACGTAACTTGCCCAAGGTCACACAGGTAATTAGAGGAGCTGAGACTCAAATCTAGGCCATCTAGATCCAGAATCCATGCTTAGGACTCTGTTATATCCTGGAAGGAGCAGCCTATTCAAGAAAGGGGAATGAAGATGGCTTTTTTCTCTGATGGACGTTTTTTGCTATGACTTCACCCTTCAAAGCCTCGTTCTCCCATTCTCTCTCTATTTGTCCCTTCTTCCCTGCAGGAACTTCTCAGCAGACCCAATATGTGTGTCGTTTACCCCATCTCACTATCTGGGCCCGTCTCTGATCCTCCCACCCCACCAACGCCCCAGCCTTGCTGCTCACTCACCTTTCAAAGGATAACCAGTTGTCCAGTTTATAAACTCCAATTTGACTTTAATTTAATAAATTAAATTCCAAGCCATCACACAGCAATGGACATCATCATCTCCCAACACACAGAGGTGTAGCCCTGCTCGTGCTCCATCATCATCACAGTCTTTAATAAAGCCCCTGAAAGCCATTTCTCTGGGGAAGGCTTCCATCCAGCTCCTGGCTCCCTCCTTCTGACAGAGCCACTGCTCACGGAGAAGGCATCAAGTACAAAAACAGTAATAAAGGGGAGGGAGGGATGAGGAGCAGGAGGGGAGGCAGGGAGGTGGGGAGTACCTGCCCCCCATCCAGGGCACCGGCCCGGGCTTTCTGTGAGCTGCCAATGTCCCCAGAGGCAGACACTGGTGCTGGTCGGAGTGGGGACCTGAGGGAGACATGGGAGTCCTGTCCCAAAGGGAATTAATTGCCTACCCTCCTGGGACAGGAAAGAAGGGTCACCTGGGAGAGATGCCCTCTCTCATCTGTTCACTGAGGGTCCTGGACCACACATATAAATAGAAAAGAGAATAAATAGGGGAGGAAGGACCAGCTGAGGAGCTGAGCACCCTGGGACTCCTCTGAGGGGCCAATGTCAACAGCAGGCAACCGGTTCTGAGAAATGCCCACACGTGCCAGGACAGAGCCCTCCTCTTACTCCCAGCCACCCACTCCCTCTTCTGTGTCCTCAGCAACGGGTGCCCGCCTCTGTCATGCTTCCCGTTGCAAGTACCCTTCCAACTGGCCCCACAGCCCAGGGTGGACAGGGCTTCCTGGAACCCAGAGGGCTTCCCTGGCCCAGGCTGTTGGGAATCCAGGAAGGGGAATGGAAGAGGATGTGGGGGGTGGGCTGAGAGGACTCCTGCCCTCTCCTAGCTCAGGAGGTGGGAAGGGCCCTCAGAGCTGGGGGCTGGGATTGCCATTGGCCTTGGGTTTGGATTTGAAGGAAAAGCGCTTGATAAGGCGGCGAGAAAAGCTGCCAGCCTTCTTTCGGACACTGGGTGTGGCTGCCGTGTTGGAGAGGTCATCGTGTGATTGGCTCAGACCAGCTTCCTTCTGTCGAGGCCTCCGGCGGAAGATAAGCTTTGTGCCACTGCGCAGGAAACTCACTGTGGGGCGAGAGGGGAGGCTGAGGCAGAGAGAGGGGCACGGCATGGGATGAGGTGGGGAGCAGAGAAAGGACCAAGCGAGGAGGGGTTGAAGATACAGAACAGAACCAGTTCCTTTGTCTAAAAGCCAGGCTTCCTTAGGAAAGAAAGTAGAGAAAAAACATGCCTTTTATCTTTCCTGAGGAAAAAATGGCGGTGCTCATGGGATTGTGTGCACTCCTGACCGCCGCTGAGCAGCAACGTCACGGGGTTGTTGCTCTGCGAGGCCAGACTGACAACTGGGCCTCTTTACTACAGAAAGACAAAGGCTGAGCGGAGGGGATTCCTAAGGGCACCTAAAATCATGGAAGGACAAGGTGAGTGGGCACGGACTCGTTGACCAAATTCCAGGGTGTGAGCCGGAAGCAGGGCAGCTAGAAAACCTCAAGGAGGTAAATTCAGGACCAACATAATGAGAAAAGTGCTTACACAGCAGGCTTTGGACTTAGGAATCTCATTATCCCAAGAAGTGATGCAGGCTTAAGTCACAGTTAAATACATTTGTGGTTGATAGACTCATTGGCAGAGAGATAAAGATGTGTGGGGGCAAGCCCCTCATCTTTAAAAGTTAGAAAAGCACCACGACTATCCATGGGCCAGCCATGTCGCTGCTAGAAGGACACTCCTAGAGTTGACCCAGGGTAGGATTTCTTATACTCATAAGGAAGAGAGCACAGATGGAAGGGGGATAAAGAAAAAAAAAAAAAAGACAATAGGAAAGAAGATATATGCTTAGACCTAGGAAGGAAGAAAAGTGGAAGTTAAGGGAAATACTCTGGCATCCCTCCCTGTCACTGGTGTCTGTCAGATCCAGGCCAGGACCCTAGGCAGTAAGTTCTCCTTCTCCACTTTGTCTTGGCTGAAACAGGCTGGGAAATCTGGGGATCCCTCAGCGGAGGAAGGAGAAGGCAAACTGGGTTGAGAATCCCATTCCCTGAGGTGTCCAGTAAGACCCAGGTCCTGATACTGGGCATAAAAGAAGGGGAGGGGGTGCTGCCAATATCTCCCCACCTTTGTGATCCTTGAGGCTGCGGGTCTCCAGCGCACCAGTAGACCCTGTTTCCGACTCAACATCATCCACAGATGGCCTCTCAGAAATGTCCGAACGTGTTGTCTCATCTGCTTCCTGGACGCTGGTGGGGCTGGAGAGGGCATCGAGGGGTCCTGGGGACATGGCTGGTGGGTCTGAGGGCGGTGAGGAGGGACCTCCACTGGTTCCTGCATCATCCTGCATTGAGGCGTCCAGGGATGCCGCATAGCCCAGAGACAGTGCCAACTCGTCCTGAGCAATGGGCACCTGGCAGGAGGAACACGTTTTAATGGGCAGGAGTGACCCATCAGGGCTTTCTCCCTATCCCAGCTCCTCTCCTCAGAGCCATGTTACCTTGGAAACGCCAGAGATGATAAGAGTGCTACGCTTGGTGGGTGTCTTTTTGGCTGCCCGCCCGCTGGGCTCAGTGAGCTGACGAATCGCTGTCTCTGCTACAGGGTCCAAGCCGTTGGAAAGGTGGCTCTCCCCTGCTGGGGGGTACAGACGGTGGATAACCTGACTCCTCCCTGGCTCCTGGGTCCCACGCAAAATGGTGTTTTGACTCTGGGGCCCCCGTGCCCACCGACACTCACACTTCCCGGTCCCCCACTCACGGCTGCTGCTGTGGGAAGCACTGCTGGGGCCACTGCTCTCACTCAGCACAGTTGTCGTCTTCTCGGTCACCTCCACCTTGGACGGGGAGCGGGAGGGGGAGTCTGGTGGGTGGGGGAGGGTCAGTGAGCTGGGAGATGCCTTAAAGTGGCCCCCACCCCCTATTGTCTTTACTGAGATGCAGGCTTTGGCTGACTCAGAGGGCAGAGGTGACTAAGGGACAATCACACAGGTGATTAATAAGATGCCAGGGGGGCAAAACGACACCACAGGACACCAATGGGAGTGCGGGGAAGTGCCATGGGGCCCACCCAGGGTGTGGGGAGAAGCCATGAAGATGCTGAGAGTGCCCAGAGATGGCACAAGGGTCCCCTGGGGGAAGGGGGAACCCTGTGGGACCCCCCAGAAATGGGAGGAATGTCATGGAGGGCCCCCAGGAGTGAGAGAAGTATCACAGAGGCCACTGGTTTTGTTGGTGGATCCCAAAGGTGCTAGAAGGTTGAGGGTAGAGGGAGGGACAAGTAGGCAGTTGGGGCCGCGGAAAGGGCCGGCAGGAGACCTGTGAAAAGTCACCGGGGAACGCGGGAGGTGGAAGGGCGAGAGTCCAGCAGGAGGGCCCAGAAGGCCCAGAAGACCCAGGATCCCCAGGATCGCAGCGGGAGAGGAACAGTGGGGAAGAGGAGGGATGTAAGGGGAGGCCTGAGAGACAGAGATGATGAGCAAGTTGTGGCTGGAAAACAGGAGGAGCTAGAATTAGGGCTTCCCTTGCCCTTCCCTGTCCCACACGGGTCTGCAGCCAGGGGCCCCTGGCTGGGACTGGGCTCCCTTCTCTTTACCTGGTTTCCCTTCTACACGGGGCCGGGACTGGACGGTGGTGACTGTGGTCACAATGGTGCCATCAGGCATGATGGTCCGGTCTAACTCGATCTTCTTGGTGGGTGTGATGCTGGGGCGTGGAGTGGAGGGAGTGGGGGTGCCCAGGTTCCGGGGGGAGCCCTCCTCATACTGAAGCTGCCGAGGGAGAGGAAGAGCAAAGAGGCGGGCCTCAAAGACTGCCCTTCTCCAGTGTCCTCCCCTCTTCCCCCTAGGCTCAGCTTCTCACCTCTACTGCCATGGTGGCCGCTGGTCCCAGGGCCTTCCCTGGCCCAGGGGCGAGTGGGCATACTTGTCTTCGGGAGAGAGGTCTGGAAGGGGGCCCCACAGACAGTGTGATCTGGCCCAAGAGTTCAGCTGGGGAAAGGGACAGCACTGTGAGCTGGGCCCATGACCAGGCCCCACTTAGCACCCACCCAGAGGTGCTCCTTCCTGCCCCATACTCACCGTCTCCACAGCTGTTGCTCCTCAGTACTTTGAGGCTCAGCTCCCGGCTCTGGGGGCCCAGATCCCTGTGGCCAGGAGGAGGTGGGGCAGGGAGGGGGAAGATTAGCAAACCACACCCACCCTCGAACTGACCATAGGCCAGAGGCAAAGAGAGATGTACATAAATAAAATGGAATGAGGGCTCCAATCAAACTCCTGCCCCCCAAATACTCTCTCTTCCTGGGGCACCTGGCCAGCTCAGCTGGAAGAGCACGTGACTCCTGACGTCAGGGTCATGAGTTGGAGCCCCGCGTTGGGTGTAGAGATTATTTAAATAAATAAGACTTTAAAAAATTAAACAAACAAATACTCTCTCTTCCCAAGAGAATGGGATAGGGCTCTGCTCGGGATGCTGGGCATGGATCCTCCCCAGTCTTGCCCTCCTTGTCTCTCTCTCTATGTCAAACCACCCCTTTTCCTTTGCTCAAGCTGTTTCCTCTGCCAAAAACACTTTTCTGTCACACTGTTGAAATCCTATTCTTGCTGTAAGGGGTGGTTTAAACACCACCTCCTCTATGAAGCCTACTCCGATCTTTATTTCCCCATGGGAATTCATCTCCCCCACCTAAGCATGCCCACGGCACCTTGTGTAAATCTTGACTGGAGCCCTTATCCCATCTTTTTAATGTACCTCTGTCTCTGCCTGGAGCCTGCAATCAACTCAGGGGTGGGGGTGTATCTTGGTCATGTTTGTATCCTCAGGACCTGGGCCAGGGCCTGGCATACAATCAGGGCTCACATAAGAGTTTACTGAGAGTAGAGCTGATTCATGCCAGGGCTATGCTGGAAGGGTTTGATCCTCAGTCTGCCCATGAGAGCAGGGGTGGGAATGGAGGAGTCACTCCTTACAGGGCCAGGTCCTCAGTCCACTCCACCTCGGGACCAGCGTTCATGGGCTTGGTCCACTTCTGTTGCAGCGGGTTGTCGAGCTCAGCTACACAGCACAGTCCCCCAGTACCTGGGCGGGAACCAGGAATTAGGCGATGCCCAGATCAAAGATGGGAAGCCACTGAGGAATAATGAAGCCACACCCGTGGCAGAAGGGCAGGGAGCGCCTGCACCCATAGCCTTGGCAGTCCCCCAGCTGCTTCTGGCTCTCACCTTCCAACTCACTTCCCAGGTGAGACGCTCGAAGCTGCCGGAGGAATAACCGGGTAGGCCTGGAGATGGCTGGCTGTTCCTGGGGCACCGTGGGTGGCTTCTCACTGGGTACCTAAGAGCAGAAGGAGGTAAAAAAAACAAGAATCCCAACCTAGCCCACTGGGGACGTTCCGCTTACAAACTGTTTGCTTTGAGGGCCTACTTACCGGGCCTCCAGGCGCAGAGCAAGCCCTGAGGTTGACCATCATGGCCGGCTGGGTGCTGACAATGGTGTCCTCAATCAATTCTTCAATGGTGGAGAGCTCCACTTGCTCCTCACCTCTCTGCACAGCAGAGGAGAACGAAGAGGTGGGGCCCCCAGCTCTGCATTGCCTCCCTGCTCTGCCTCTTCCTCCCCGCCCTGCCCCCTTACCTCCCTGGCCTGCAGCTTGGGAAGCACCGTCAGGCTGAGGTCTGGGCGATCAGTAAAGGCCCAGGACACGAGCAGGCCCTCGTCAGGGATTTCCTCCAGGCTGACTTCCAACTGCGGGGGACAGACAAAGGGGCTAGGGGGACTTGCCTCATGCCTCCAACGACTCCCTATTCCCCAGGACCCTCCCTTCCCCAATTCCGTCCCAGAGAGGAACCCAGCTGCAAGGCTGAGGCCTTGAACCGCCCCCTGCCCACCTGGTTTCCCACATCCCCCTCCACCTGTGTTGATGGCAGTGTCAGAGTGACGTAGTAGGTCTCCATGGAGACGGCAGCGGGGGACTGCTGGGTCACAGAGACTGGGAACATCACCTCCTCAGCAGAGAGCTGGCAACGCAGCACCTGAGACCGGCGAGGCACGGAGGCAAGGAGGGTCAGGCGCGGAGGACGGGGGCTCAACCCTGCTTTGCTCTGCCGTATAAAGACCCCTCCCCGGGCGCCTGGGTGGCTCAGTTGGTTAAGCGACTGCCTTCGGCTCAGGTCATGATCCTGGAGTTCCTGGATCGAGTCCCGCATCGGGCTCCCTGCTC